ACTAAGCAACGCTTAGTAACTACAATCTTTGCTTTTGTAAATACATACATATTATACATATGTAAATGTAATATATTAGAGGGTAGAATCCCACGGCTTGCACTGCGTGCATCGACGGGTGGCCCCCGTCAGTTTAACAATAAACGCTATACTGTCAACTTGTGTGTCAATTATACCACAGTAAACAAACAGACACTGGAAAAAAACTATGTATATCACAATATTTCTTCAAAAGTCGGGATCGAAGCCACACCCTCTGGCGCGAGAGGCAAATTCAGTACTCCCCACGTCAATCGCGTCGCCAAATAATGTTCCTAGAGGCCCTATCGCTCAGTAAAAATGGAACCTTTGCAAATTCTTCGTCTGTCTGTCCGTCTGCTAAAACCTGACGTTTCACGTGAACGGTTGGCGGTACTTGTTTCACATTTATGTTGAAGACATATCCATAAAAACATAAAAACCGGCCAAATGCGAGAAATCACAATCACGCAGACAAAGATGCGGCTAAAAGCATAGCCGCGTAATAAACGCGAGTACGAGGCAAAAACGAACATTGCGATTTACAAGTGCCATTGTTCCTTTCTTGAAGAAGGACATACCCAATTCAGGGGCGCTTACGAAATAGAGCGCCCTAGGAGCGGTCGAAGGGGCCTCCCCGATCGGCGGGCGTCGGTGTAATCGGCCGCTATCGGCCCACAGATCGCCGTTCGATTCCCGCGGGCCGCAATTAGATTGTTAGTCGCATGCGATATTAACGTGTCACGTTACGCGACCGCGCGGTCTTGATGCTTGGTATTTTTAACGTGTTACGACAATGGTCAATGGACAATGGACAAAGCCGTGATAGCTCAGTGTCCGGGCGCTCGCCTTTAATTCAATATACTCGAGCAACCTGAGTTCGATCCCCGGTGCCGGCACCAATGAAGTTTTTAACTTTAAGTGCTGACTTATCACGTGCTCCGCGGTGAAGGAAAACATCGTGAGGAAACCTGCATATTTTCGAAATAATAACAAAAAAAATATTTTTCGAAGATATGTGAAGTCCGCCAATCCGCAGTGGGGCCGCGTGGTGGACTATGCCCTCATACCCTCTGTATAGAGGAGGCCTTTGCCAAGCAGTGGGACATGTATAGGCTGTTAATTTACTTTTTTTACTTTACGACAATGGTCTCGGGATGCGATTGTTTAGAGACGCGGGATCGGAGTATCATATAAAAAAATATAATAATTAGGTAGCTTTAACTATAACTGATAGTTTGTCCTTTTTCCCTTTTGAGTTTGACATGATACTGATCTCATTCGGACGATGCTAACAATGCCTACAAAACACTGGCATACCTCTTCTATGCAACAAAACGTCCGTTCGTCTTAGTCTCTACTTTACAGGACCATATTCAGCTCTTGGAAATTGATATTTATGGAATATAAGCGTGGAAACTTTTCTCTTCAATAGCTTCTCTCTAGTCGATATGCCTTCAACGTACAGACAGATAATGGAATTATCTGCCAGCGTCGTTACATTTGATTATAACGTGGGTGTCTTCAAATCAAGAGTGAACAGGCTTGTACTAGTAGGTTGACTATATGAGGCTACATCATTATTTATCTGGTGTTAATACTTGATCAAATATCGACCACGATGTTATAGGAAAATAGCAAACACTAAACCCTAACTCTCCTTCTAGTTGATAAACTTAAGTGTTTACACACTCGCTTACGCGTTGCGGACCCGTCAAATTTTCTGTATTTATAAATTTAATGGCAATAAGACACGCCATCTGAGAAATTTTAAAACCATTACTTTTAAGAATAAACAAGAATTGAAGTTAATGAACATCATTACACAAAGTATCGCTGGATCGGAATGCAACAGTTTAAATTATTCACTACACTTTTTATTGAACAAAATAATGATATTTAAAGCAAACAGTTAGTTTTAAACGGAATTCCTTTGTTTCCTTCCAATTTACCTTGATCAAGTTAAGCGCGAATATGTTATGGGTAATTATCTAAATTAAATTGTATAACACTTTTGTAAATAATAACAAACTGGCTTGGCGGGCTGGTTGGCTACTACCCCATCTGATGGTAAACACTGATCTTCATGCGGTAGAGTAGATGAGTGAAAGCCATCATGCCAGAAGATGAATCAAGCCGTGATATTTAAATAGAATACAATTAGTACTCATGAATCTAGTAATATGTAGTTAAAAAGTACCCTTTGCAGAACCGTTCCATATTTTTATGTGCAATAAGTAACAATTGCATCGTAAACATTCACAACACGCTTTGGTCGGCTTAAGCTGGCAAAAATAAGTTAGTCACAGTTTGGTAAACAACAAACATTGTTTTTACTTTCATTTCGCCATTAAATGTCGATACAACACGAAAGGCGAATTCGTATAGACTTTCTCCACTCCTTACTTTGTCATATATCAATGTTGTCGGAGAACGTAAAAAGCTCTAAATAAGTAATGCAGTTATTCCACGCGCATGAACTTCCAACCGTTTGGCCATCTCGACACGCGATTAACACAATAACACCATTGGTAATACGTCGAGTGGCCTTTTATCGAAGCATCAAAATTGTTTGAGCGTCCCATAACCGTATTCCGATGTCGATAAGAAAGTCAGTTGAGAATTTAATATACATAATTTCTTTTAACGTATATCGGGAACGGTGGCGAGTGCTTAACCACACTTTTATTACACTTCGGCTGACCGATGCCATTGTCTATTTTGTTTAAAAAAAAACTTTACCGCGCTTTTTACGAGCAGGTGCCCCTTTTAGGGTTAATTCATGATGCGTCAGAGTTCGGTTTTATTTATATTTGTTAATTAAAGATCACTTAAATACTTATCAAATCTTTCGTAATATTTTACAAAATTACATATTGAAATGTAAATGATAGAGTTATTTGGAAGATTTTGCCGTCCTATTGAATGTAATTCTTAGTTATTTCTACAAAAATTTTATTAGAATTTATATATTAAGAACAGCCTTACAAATACTTTCCGTCTCAAGACAATTTATCTAAACAATACAATTGCCAAAGCGCCACGTTGAAGCCCTTAAATAAATATCTATCCCCTTTAAAAACCCTTTATAACCTTTTTTCCAATTAAATGTACGTCCAATTAATTAATGCCTATGTCCTTTCTCAGGCTCTAGACTATCTGTGTACCAAATTTCACTTAAATCGGTACAGTAGTTTTAGCGTGAAAGCGAGCAGACAGACAGAGTTATTTTCGTATTTATAATATTAGTATGGATAACATCTTATAGTCTTTCAACAAAAAAGTCAAAAACATCGCATAATTACTTGAAGTAATTGCAAACAGACACAATTCGTATCAATAATTTTCTAGTTTTCGTGCAAGAGTCGAACAAAATATCTGCGAAGTTGTAGTTTTCTGATTAGCAAACAATTCATCTACTGGTATATTGTTAAAACGAATCAAATTATAACACATTTATAGTTATAAACACTGCTTTATCGTTTTACAATTTAAGAGCCAACAAAGAAGCTCAACGTCTTCCCAACGGCGGGAGCTTTAAGCTTCGGGAAGTTGAAACCGCGAACTCTATTCGGTTGGATAAATGAAACGAATTGTGCCGGTTAATTGATTCGCCCCAACGTGGGGGGGAGTCACGCCAATCGAAGCGAGGCGCCGCGATCGCTCAGACCAGATAGAGCACTTACCAGATGTTGCACGACTCTACTATGCTGGTTATATCCACTAATGGATCTTGAATATGCAGAGCAAATCGTTCTGATGCAAAGATTCCACCATATTTGTATTTAATAATAACTAAATTTGGCGTCGGTAGCAAAAAGTCTGTCTGGTTATTCTGAAGACTCTATATGTAGAGCTCGGGTAAATAGATACTTTTCTTTTGGAATCTTATCAAGATAAGTTGTATTAGGGTAAATTTTAAAGTTTTTTTATAGTGCTAATCTCTGCATTTAAGATTGAACATTAAAACATATAGAAAAAGTACGAAAAGATTGTCGCCGCTGTGGGAATCGAACCCACGTCTTCGGTATTCGCGACAATAGATGCGGCGAGCATTGCTTCAAATGCTAAATAACAATGTAGAAAGTAGGCGTTAAGATTTTCGTCGCTGTGGCTATCAGCCGTTTAGCTCAGTAGCCACTGAGCTAAACGGCTGATAGCCACAGGCCGCGAATGCCGAAGACGTGGGTTCGATTCCCACAGCGGCGACTATCTTTTCGTACTTTTTCTACATGTTGTATTAGGGTAACTGAATTGAATGAAAAAAACTGAATTTTAAACTTCGCACAAAAATTTTTCTCCAAAACACCAGGTGTGTGTTTTTGTTTGTTTAAATAAGTAAATCTTTGTCTACCTGACCAAATTCCCTATAAAATGTTTATATTTGCATATTTCCCAAATATTAACGTCCATCGGATCACACTCTGCCATGGCCTGAAAATTTTGAGTTCTGTCTTTAGGAAAAACGGCATCTTATTATGTTCGATGCACTACATGACTTTAAAACCATGACCTTTCAGACTAAAAGCAAAAACTTCAAGTTACACTGCAAAGGAACTTAGGAAAGTTTGTAAATATCCTAATGTTGTTTTTCTAGACCGTTAGATATCCACATTTATTTCATCATATACATAATGAAAAAAAGAGAATATCTGAACCCAAATTTGCGCACTGAATTCATTGGCAAATATCTCTAGAAAGTTATGAATACGGGTGAGTATGAATTTTGAGAATTTGACTATGCATTTCGAGATGATCCCGTTTGTATCAAAGTTTATATAATTTATTCCTTAACCTATTTGTAATAGCAATCATTTAAAATAACGGAATTCCGAAGGACTGTTATTAATAACCATACATTGCGAGGACATTCGGAATCGAAGCATAAATACAGGCTTCGCGTATCGATTCATCACAATTATAGGCTCCTCGGGGGCGCCTTTGTTCGTACATCCTGAACGAACCGCAGACTTTCTTACTCAACCGTACACACACGTGTAACCTCTAATTACATTCATATTGGTGACCACCTTAGCAGGTGGACAGCCGCCCGTGACGGGCACCGGTGATGCGGAACGCCCGAGCAATGTCAACTCTACAGCCCGATGATAGAGCTCAAATCGGAACGCGGCCCTTTCAAGGATAGCTGAACAGTTCGACATCGGCGGGCAGCCCCTATTGTCAGCACCGTACGGTTGACAGTCGCGTGACGATCGGATTTTCGGTTCAACAATGACGCCACGTTTCCCTAACGTAAGGTCAATAGCATGATGGGCGATTTCGTGTTCTGTTAATTAGCGGCCGATGGATTTTTCGGGACGAGTACGTGGAACATTCTAGAAGAAAAAACGGCGCACCAAAGAAGTGACACGCTCGGTCGGTCGTGGCTCCGTCGGATTATAAATGACCGACGAATACTTGACCATTACTTATTGCGGTGAGTTGTCACACACACGATCAAATAGTGTGCCTATCTGATTTGCTGAAAATTGGACTTTGTTTCTCTTGAATCGAACTCTACCCAATCGGAGATGGAAGTGTTCAAATGATTTGCGTTTAATAAATCAACTGTGAACTTTTTCCTAAAACGTTAAACCAAGCAAGATCGATAGCAAATACAGGTGCCAAGTGAAGCGAAGTTCAGTTAAAAATGGTATGAAAATTATTAAATCCCTAATAAAGGTGGTTTAATAACTTGACATTGGCTTCGGCGTCGGGGGTCGTGGGTTCGATTCCCACAGGTGACAACTGTTTGTGTGACCCACAGATAGTTGTTTCGCATCTGCGTGTTTGTCCACGTGATAATTATGTTTGTTAAACGTCCTTTCCACACAGGATATTGTTATCCTAATGTAAGGTCAATGTTTCTAATAAAAAAGAATAAATAATAAAAAAAATTGTAAGTAGTAGAGTTCGCAGAAACAGACAAGAAGCTAACATCTTATATAATTTCACATATAACAGATATTTTTCAATCTTTGTGAGTATTACTAAATTCTCTATAAAGAAATATTCAATAAATACTTTAATGCTTTAAAAACAATAACTCTTAATTGCCATCCTTAATTACTAACTTTTAAGTAGAGTCATATTAATATGATTCATAACACACGTCCATTCTTTAATAAATTATTACCGTACTTTTTTCCATAACATTAATATGATTCCCATTAAGAGGAGACTAACGTTCCCTAATTTGCATTAACGATTGCTTTTTATTATATTTTCCTTGTTAAGCGTCAAGTATTTAACATATTTGTACACACGAATAACTCAGTACCTAAAAGCCTAGTAGGTTCAAACTCGAGACTCCTAATCACAAGATTTTTCACTGAATTATATTAACTTACCTGAATGTATATATATAACTTTTACTGGTTTTGGATCTTATTTTATGTGAAACGTGAGCAAGTCAATGGGTTGGCTAACGTGATGTTAAATAATTATGGCCATACACATCTACAATACATGAAGGATTGCAGATGTGTTGCCATCAATAAAGCTAGCCCCGGGTATCTCACACATTTTTATTTTATTTTTTAATTTATGTGAGAGGTGGCCAGCGAGCAGTCGTTTCACCTGATGTTAAGCGATAGCCGCCTCCCATGGACATATGTAAGACCCAGCTCTTAATACAGTGGCCCCGGCTACCTCACTCGTCAGACGAAACGCAAAAGTGTAACACTTCAACGCCGGTCTTCTGTGAGGTCGTGATACTTACCCGGACGGACCTGCCCATTCGTGCAACCGTGAAGACTGTTGCTTGGCCCTACCACATTAAAAACCAGATGAAACGCCAAAGTATAATACTTACACCTGACTTTCCTTCACTTTGGTATTCTTTGAGGTATTCATACAGGAGCTACTGTGTGACCCTATAATCAGTACTTAATAAACTAAGCATTATCTCAGCTATCTAATAAGCCAGGATATCATGTAGCTGTCGAAAGAGTATTTCATCAAAGAATAATTTCGAAAATTAAAAAGAAAAATGTTTATCTTAATGTTATAGATTAATAAGGTTGTTAGAAATTACGATTGGATTAGACAATATATATATAGCTGTCGCTACGTATTGTAAATACCATAGCTGATATTTGTGTAGCTTAATTGAAAATTGCAGTAATAAGTTAGGTAAATTATAAGTACAAATCAAGTGCATGTATTGAAGATTTCAATACATGTCTCACCTATTGGTTTGAGCTAATTTCTCTTCTACCAGGACTTCGATTAGCTTTAAAATCGTATAAGAATTGAGCACAATTTTAAAAGCCCTTCGCTTTTTGAGTTGAGGACTACAGATATTACTAACTAACTAATCAAGTGAAAGGAACCACTGAGAACAGGAACACAACATTGAAAGTAATAAAACACGTAATTTACTAAAAATGTATGTATATATGAGTTTGCGCACATGTAAAGAGTCGTTGGGCATTGGGTTAGTGCAGGGCTGACATCGAAAGACGGGTATCGATGAATTAGCATACATCGATAGCATCGACGCGGGGCCGGCCGCGATAATTACCAGACCCCATCAGCCACATGTCGCTAAACAAAAGCGAGTGTACATGAGAAACTAATTACCGCGGCGGGAGAGAGGGACAGCCGTATACCGAAGCCTCTAGTGCGAGAGGGGGCGACTGCTCGGCCAGATCGGAAGCAGATTGGCACGCACCACTGCTTACTGACCGAATATGTTTTTTTCATTAATTAAAAATGCAGGCCGCCTGATAAATGGTCGTTCGGTCGATTTATTCGACCACATTTCGAGGACGCGCGCGCTAGTTTGGTTGGAGGGGGCCTTGCTCAAGTTGGGGGCTAATAAGTGATACAACTATCACTTATTGGAACTGTATATTCAATTTCGTCTTCTCTGTACCACCCCAAGGTTGACTGGATGATAATGCCTGTGGCATTAAGTCCGCCTCTGTACAGTTTCGGCATAAAGTATAAATAAATAGATAAATTTTGATGAATCCGAAAGTATTATCTCTATACTATCTTAATCTCTATAAAAGTGGCTATACTATAGGCCGCGAATGCCGAAACGTTGGCGATTCCCACAGCGGCGACAATCTTTGAGTCTACTTTGGATTTTATTGCATCTTAACTCAAAATAGCACAAATTTAAAAATCCTCATTCAATATAGAACAATATAGCCTTTCACTTACATGTTGATTATCTTAACTGAAACCTGATGAACTTAAAACTGGATAAGAAGTTAATTTTAATAATTACCAATTTACAATATTGGTATGTTATGAATAACATAAAATATTGTATTACGAGCAAAAAATGTATTAACGTTTCTAGATTCTCAACGAAGCCAAATAATGATAACAAATAAATAAATAATAATAATATTTTACACAACGTTATTTAGTCCCAAAATAAGCGAATCTTGTACTATGGGCACTAGATAACCGATAGACATACTGAAAGGTAGTTTTCTTTAGTATATTAATACATAATATTATAGACGACACAAGAAAAAAATAATGTTCATCACATAATATTTTTCAAGTACTAAATATCGAACCCACCCACTCTGGCGCAAGAGACAGGGTCACTATACTAAACCAATAGAGTCAAATCAAATTCTATCTTAATTAGGCTTATTAACTTTATTTAAGGTTGACAGTTTTTAAGTTAACTCTCAAAATATCAATCAAAGAAAAAGGCTACTCTTTCTATACTATGCGTTTCTTACATTTTATTGGTTTTATTAATTCTCTCTTACTCACATTTTATATCAATGTATTTATTTAGTTTCCCTAATCCATGCACTGTCTATGTTCGTTCTGAACTTAGATTTTGGCTAATTATTCAGCCAACTGCAACTAACCAAGATAATTTAAAAATTATGTATTAAATACTGAGCTATTATTATTGACGCAGCATAATATTCTCTTGGTCTTTTTTTCAAACGTTTTCTTCATATCGTCCAGAAAACCGCATATTATCAAGCACTTTCCAATTAAAACCCAAATGTAGTACAAGTCATCAACGTGGAAGTGAAAGTCCCATCAATCGACACTCGAACCACATCCGACATTATAATATTTACTATAAAGCAATTGTGACATTAGACGCGCATTATGCGTAAACCATAAATCGCGAACGGACCGCCAAAAATGGCGCGTAAATCACAATCATGCAAATCAACCCTTCGAGAGCCGATCTTTGGAGCGGCCATAAAATCGGCCTCGTCACAATGGAGAACCCATTCAGCAACAACATCCGCGAGGAGAGCTCAAAACCAACGCCACTCACGCACGGATTGGCTTTAGCGTCCATTAATGAGCTATTGAAAAATGATAGCAGAAATGATTCCGACGCGGCGGAATTATCATAAGCCATTTGAGGGTTAACCGTGGTTCCCATGCAGTCGTGTCCGGAACCAATCGATAATCGGCCCAATCGCCGCGGAGTAGGAGCCATTTTAGAAAAATGCGCCCCTTCGACATCTCCCAAAGGAGCATCGAGCTTTTTGAGTCGCACTTCGTCTCTTGAGCGACATCTCCAGCGGTTGTCTCTTAAGTCCTACGCCGTAGAGTCGAATTTCGCTTTGCGTAGCATAAGAAAGTAATCATATGGTAATTTTTTTAACCCATAAACGGCGTATGCAAATTTCTCCGCTCCCATTGTCGCTTCGAAAACGCGCGCAAGGATTTGTTCGAGGGCTGGTCCCATACGCCGATGACAGATGCAGGGACGCGGCAGAAAACATCGTGTCATATTACGAGAAATCATCTAGTTTGATAAGCGAGCGACATCTTAAATGTACAATAACCCTTTAAAGGTCCATTGTACCTTGAACCTTTCACAGTGAATCATGCAGATAATAAGCAAAATGTTAAAGCTAAACGTCGAAATCAACTTTTTCCCACACACACACACCAAAGCCCGCCAAAATTTTAGTGAGCTGTCAATATCAACAAACCCATTCACTATTTCAAACCAATTAAAAGAAGAGCCGGCAAAATCTTCCGTCCGACACTCTCACAAGCCACAGAACCAAATTAAAAACGTTGACATAATCCTAAAATTATTTGTTTATGCACAAAATTATCACAACTTTTAATCTCTTCTTTTTTAATGTTATTAGTTAAGGTTTTTTTAATGTCTATTGCACATTTTGTTATCCTTATTTATTTTTCTTTCGTTTTTTACATCGCCATAGTTTTTTATTACAGTTTTAGTACAGATTTTGTTTTGTTTTCTTTACTCTAGTGTGTATTGTTTAAAGAAATTAATTTCATTTATTTTTTGTTAAATTTTTTGTTGTGTGTCCTTTTTTTTAAATAAATTTATTTCCTTTCTCTCTTAGTATCATAGTTAAGGCATTATGTGATTCCCTCTAATTAAGTAGTAGGAACAGTTAAGAAAGTTAAAGATTGTCAGCCAATTTGTTTTTCTTGGATTGCAAACGTTGTATCTTACGTTGGTAATCCAACAAATCAATAAGTAAATTCGTTAAAAATGTTATCGTAAAATCCCCAGTGGCCAGAAGACGTGGCGGCGCTAATTACGGTCTGTGAGTGCGGCTCTACTCCACAGCTATGTAATTATTGCGTTAAAGGATTACCGACGGTCCTCACTTTCCCCCGTCGCGGGCGATCGATTGCATTGATAGAGTCGTTCAAATGATCGGAATTCGTTACAAACATGGAGTAAGCAGCTGTCTCCATAATTTATGGGCGACATTTCTTTTATTGATTCACACGAAACGTATCGTGGATCGGACGGTGCGTTGGAACGACTAGTTTCTATTGACTGTTCATGATAGGAATGTATAAGGCAATTATGGAGCTACTTGGCTCAATTAAAGACATTTTTGAAATGTTATCACTATTCATAATTAAGTTTGATGTTAGAAGTTTATTATATATCATTAACTAGCTTTTACATGTGACCTCATCCGCGAGAAACCTTTGAGCTTCGGCGCCTAGGTCCTAGCGTGATGTTAAATGCCCTATAATTTTACTCAAGAATTGGAATGTCAAAATTCGAAAAGATTTTTTTTCAAATCCGTCTGGAAGTTTCGGAGATTAGCGCATTCTAACAAACAAACAAAATCTTCAAGATTTAAAAGTATAGATAAGTATAGATTAAAAGAATAAGTATAGATTCAAAATCAGACATATATAGATGTCCTATGTCCGTTACATGTCTCTTGTTGAATGAATGAGACATATGGTAACATGGAATTTGAGTATCACTGATTTTTTTAACCACCTAGAGATAAGAGAAGGCACGGTTGCCAATTGGTTGGACAGTTGCCTTAAAATCGGACAACTCTGGTTCGAGTACGAATCGCAGAAAGCTCAAGCGATTAGCAAAAACAATCTTTAACTTAATCCAAGCAAGGTTGAAATCTCCAAGCTGTATAATTTTTATCACACACACAAGACCTCATGAACAGGTGCATAAACTTCGGTTGCTGACGTAATTGGATCGTGTTACGTATTTAATAAAACTTGTACACGGCGCATTTTATTTCATACAGACCGGCTATTAATCTTGTCTAATCAGATGTTTCTCTAATATCAGCAGCATTTGTATTATACATGATATATTCTTAAGAGAAAGAGTCAAGGAGCAGTGGTCAACCGAAGGTAAAAGATCACCTCCAACTACTTCAGCAACTGCATGCCAAATCTCAAGTTACCTTGCTGCTATACGAAACGCTATCTTACAACAGTCTTCTACGAGGCTGTCAACCCTAGAGTCGGCCCACTGAACAACTGAAGACAAGCCCACTTAACACTTGTGTGCGACAATTATTCAACGATAAAGTTACTAGCTACTCGCAAATTAACCACCTCGACCATGTCAGATTGAATACAAATTATCAAAAGAAGAAAATAGCCGATTGCATTACAGCACTAACTAATTAATTAATTATTATTAGTCTATTTTACGCGGATAACACATAAGATAATAGCTAAATAAATATTATATAAGAGCCGTGATAGCTCAGCGTCCGGGCGCTCGCCTTTAATTCAATATATACTCGAGCAACCTGAGTTCGATCCCCGGTGCCGGAACCAATGAAGTTTTTAACTTTAAGTGCTGAATTATCACGTGCTCCGCGGTGAAGGAAAACATTGTGAGGAAACCTGCATATTTTCGAAATAATAACAAAAAAAATGTATTTCAAAATATGTGAAGTCCGCCAATCCGCAGTGGGGCCGCGTGGTGGACTATGCCCTGATACCCTCTGTATAGAGGAGGCCTTTGCCCAGCAATGGGACATATACAGGCTGTTACTTTACTTTACTTTACTTAAATATTATCACTCGCACTATTGAGACGAATCTAATGCCAACTCACGTGTTGAAATCTGTTCAGTGAAGTGTGCTAAAGACACCATACATAAGCTTGGAAACCATTATCCTCCTTCGTTAGTCGGGTACAAAGCTTACACGCACTCTGCTTACCCCGTCAGCTGACTGTCTTGATCGCAGTCACCTCAGAAGCCGGCGCATCATTACGCCACAGTCGATCAGCGTTCGAGGGTGAACGAAGAGCGATAGTCGACCGCTTTGTGCTTAACCCGTTGCTGTAACGGGTCGCAAATATAGATTAATGGTCGGCGAGCGGTTGTCGAGCGAATCGACGTTAGGGAAACCATCAATACGAATTACACGGTCCGATTGGGAGCGCGTTTTTTACGTGTAACGATCTCCGATCGGCGAGTTGTACTCCGGAAACGATTTCCGATTTCGTTCGCAGCTCTCGGTGACATCTGTCCGATTGTTTCGCACGACTAGCTACTATATAAACAAATACTATATATACTACTATGCTTCGATGGTTAATTAAATGTCATATACCGCTGTACTTTAGTGAAGTATGTAGGGTGGCACATACCTCACTTACCAAACGAAACGCAGAAGTGTAACAATTCCACATCACGCGGTCTTGTGAGGGGTCGTGGTACCTTCTTACCCGGACGGAGCTGCCCATTCGCGTAACAGCGAAGACTATTGCGTAGCCTACCACAGTCAAAAATCCAGTCTAGTCCGAAACTTAGCAAAGATTGTACGAGTACGGGTAACTAATAAACTTACTTACATCTTTCAATATATGTAAGAACAGCATATGCAATATGCATACTTATGTCTTTCAAAAAATCATTACGTTTATCATACAAAATTTTTCAGTAGCGGCGATTGAACCCACCCCATCTGGCATAAGACACAGGTTTACTAGCCACTACGCCAATCGGATCATCAATACCCAAATTGCGAAGAAGACACATGGCACTGTTAGACACATGGCATCTCAGGAAACAGACTGATAACGCTATACTGACAAAACCAAACAGAGAATAGAAGATAAAAAAGTAAAAGTAAAAAGTGAAATAAAGTAGACGATCTGTCCTCCATTCACACAAACGAGATGGTTGGAACAAACAAACATTTTACATTCGTCCTAATAAACTTTAAACGTGATAAGTGATGACCTCAACGTCGACAGTTAGATGAATATATAATATATAAATATAAATTGCAAAAGCCAATGGCTGCAACACGTCCTTCCCTAAAAGCTCGTGCATGAAACGCGTTCGATTTTTAGAAACGCTAACGCGTTGAATCGTAATCGTAATATGTTTTTTTTTTTTCGATTTTTAAATATCGCATCGGATGCGGAAGCTTTTCAATCCACATCCGATTCCATATTTGAATATCGAAAGAGAAAAAATTGAGAGCACCCATCAATTAGAGTAACTCAATACTGTGTCATATTCAAAACGTCCGCTAATGGAACTCGAAATTTGAATTACAAATACATTTCCAATGGTTCGACCGTTCGAAAGATGTCCCATCTTTCCGTGCGGAGATGCATGTTTGACACGTCGTCTGTCCCTTTCTCTTATCCGCGGTTTGGGTGAGACAGGGTGAGGTTTTTGTACAGTTGACGAGTTGTGACGATTTGTGATGATAAACTATTTTGGAACATGAAAAATATTAAACGGTCGTCATCGATTACAACGCTTAAACTGGTTTAAGGAACTCGATACATTTCGTAACGACCGTGGGTGCACACCCCAGCTGATATAAGTCTTTGTAAGAACAGCATATGCTATTTTATTATTTTGTCGTCTCAAATAGGTATTTGACAATCTGCGTCCAATTTGGGATTGTGAAATGCCTATGCAATGAATACCCAATAATATGTTACAGGTTAGTCGAATTTGTAGTAAGAATTGCAAACAATGGTGAAGATATTGTGTATATAAAAAAAATTTCTGAAGATATGTGAAGTCCGGCAATCAGCATTAGCCTCTGTTCAGGGGAGGCCTATGCCCAGCAGTGGGACATTTATAGGCTGTCACTTTACTTT